AAACTCCTTTGAACCTTGCCTTACCGTACCCAGAAGGGCCTGATTGCAGACTTTCCTGGTTCTATCGACATGACGACTTTCTAGAGCCCGGTCCCATCAACATAAGAACTTTCTAGAGGCTGTCTAGCGGCTCTGGGTGCCTTTCCTAGACTTCACTCCTGAAAGCCCTGGGCGCCTCGTTTCGACCTTTGATCCCAGGCCTATCGACACAAGGACTTTCCTAGAGCCTGTCTGGACGCTCTAGGACCGACTTGTGATGGTACAACTTCATCTGTGGCAAATGGTTATGACCTGAGAACAACTTTAGACGGCAACTTCAGCTGTGGCAAATGCTAGGACCTGAGAACAACTTTAGGACCCTGACACTTCACGTGTGATGGTTATGAGAACTTACGACCTGCGAACAACTTTAGACGGCACAACTTCAGCTTGGCCAAAAGCTAGGACCCTGAGACTTTTGGCGACATAACTTAAGATTTTGGCCAAAAGCCCAGGACACTGAAACTTACGGTCTGCAGGTTACGACCCCCCAGCTCCTTGCACCATTTCTCAATATATGCACCTCATCCTTGCGCAGGGGCCATGCTAATCTTCTCGTTTTACAGATGTCCAGAAGGACGACCCCAGTTCCTTGCAAAGAGCGAACAATTCCCAATAAACAATGGATGAACCTCAGTGCTGCATTTAACAATTGGACGAATCGGAGAAACACGTGCCCTAATCAGCAGCAGCGGTCTTCCCCTGAATAGAATGTATGGTCATTATAGCTGCATTTGGAGCAACTTGCAGTCTAGATACAGCAATAATGAAGGTACGGCGTACATTCTATTCAGGTGAAGACGGTAGTAAAAGGAAATAACAATTTTCCCATACATGCGGCGCGTCACGTCCGCGCAAGAGCAAGTTGCACACGTGCGCCGCATAGCGCATGCGCACACGTGATGCGGCGCATTTACGAAAAACAGGGGGGGGGGGGGGGGGGGGGGGGGGGGGGGGGGAAACGGGTAGGCCATGGTCACCAAAAGTGCCCCACCCTTATGAAAATGGGAAGTCAACAGAAACAAAAATATTTACCTTTTGGAGCCACTTCGTACTACTCATTGGATGTATTTTCTCTTCCAGAGGGTCCCTTGCAAAGAATAAGAGAGGGTTCCCATACTTTATGAAAGGATGTTCATTGAACTGCTGGCAGACCATGCGCAGGCCAGTAATATATCCTGGATTCGGATTCAGGTCTGTGTTCCAAGAGTTATGGGTTACGAAAGTACTACAAACACTACAGTAGCTGTGTCGTTTTTTTTGTTTTTCCTTTCCATACCTGCACTGGCCCTAAGGGCCTCGCTCCACTCGTCACAAAAGAAAAACATGTGGTTTGTATGGTTCCAGTTTGTAGGAGAAGATTCATTCTAGTTTTGCACATTTGGTGAGTAGTGGAGTGAAGCCCT